AATGGGTGTATTTTCACGCAAAGCTTTAGTGAGTGTTAGTACCTCAACAAAAACCCCTGTGAGAAGGTTTGTGGAGCATCCAAACTACCCAAGTAGCTATCAGATGAGTCCCATCATCATATGGAAAACCAAAAGGGATATGCATTAACAAAAAAGGAACTAAATGCATGAATGGCAGAATACAAGGGACAAAATTCAACACCTCCATGGCTTCCATGCTAACTAGGTCAAGGTCAACAAAAACAGCAGGGGACTCAGATTCTACAGCCATGGTAGAACAAACAATTTTACAAACAAGCAAAGCAACAAACAAATAGCCAATTTTCTCATAACTTCTCCAAATAATCACAGAACTTCTCCAACACCACAGAACCAACAAATGCAAACCAAACCAGTATATTACCATCAAACAACCTACATGCCAAAACACACCAGTTTTGGCACAGCAAATTAACTACTCACAGATAATCCAACAGTGATGCAACACATTATTAGGTAAGCAAAACAAATGCAGCAACAACCAACCAAGCAAGTTTTCAACAAATAATTTCACAGTACATGCATAAATAGAGTAGCATTAAAAAGAATTAGGGTTTATAGAGTATAGTAGTATACGTTGCGCATTCAATTACGAGGAGGGTTGAGCTGAGGGTAGTAGATCTACAGGTAAGCCTCAATCACTTCCTCCCTCGTCATGCCGTCTGGAGCTCCAGATTTGATGCGTTTAGCGCCGAAGGAAGGCCCCTCTTCACGGTCTTGGGACTCTGGTGGCTTAACCACCTCAGAAAACTCCATCTCTAATGGGGTAGACTCCCCAGTAGCAGATCCGGTAGCAGAAACCTCTACCTCAGTCATTGGAGAACCAGAAACCCCAGCAGAAACCCCAACAGCAACCACGGAACCCTCAGCCGTATGAACCACCTCGGATGGTGGTTCATCATCGGCCATAGCCTCAGAGTTCACCACCTTCGGCGTCTCCTCCTCATCGCCGACATACTCAGCGAGTTTTTCCCCCCGGATCCGCCTCCTCGCAATCACCAAAGCACGACGAACGGGTTTCATGTTACCCGTTCCACGCTGGGGCTTGTAGGTGACGCTACCGGATCGGCGGCTAGAAGCACTAGATTCTAGGGTTTCATGGCAATTTAGGTCTAGGTTTTTGTCGGTAGGAGAAGCCCTTGACAGATTTCACAAGTTGAAACAGAGAAAGGATGAAGAGAAGAACTCAGAAACAACAAACCAAAGAAGAGAGAGAGAGAGAGAGAGAGAGAGGATGGGAATCGGCGAGTGAGGAGTGAGAAAATAAGAACTAGGGTTTTTGTGGGAGGGATTTATTCTGGAGAATTCTCCAGAATAAATGAACTCCACCCAATTCATCAGATGAATTGAATGAGGAGCATTCAAATGAGGTAGTTGGGGAGTTGTTGAATTTGAAGGGTGGGGGTATAATTTTGGTGGGAATGATTAATTTAATTAATTAGTTTTGTTTTGTAATCAGATAAGGTTAGTAGTTTAATAAAGTTGAATTAAAAAAAAGTAGGGGTAAAATGGTAAATTTGCCTAAAAAATTTACTAAAAAAGGAAAGAAATGGGAAAGTTGCAAGTAATGTGGACCAGCCCAAAAAGGAAATAGTTGCAAGTAAAATGGACCAGAGGTAGTAGACTAAACAGGTTTAGGGTTAATCTATTGATTTCATGATAGTTAGAAAGCGCACATGAATACGAGTAGAATAAAGTAGAGGCCTATTTTATAGGGCGAGTTCTTTCTCTTTTAGATTGGATTAGTACCCTCATCCCCGAACACCAGTTATGGTTCCATACCTATTGGAGTTAACGATTTCCTGGATCGTTTAGGGGTGTAACCTTCACCCTGTGATCGGTTTACAAGTTCCTAAAACTTGTTGGCGACTCTTTTACTCTTGTTTCTTTCCCTTTGGACGCCCCCATACTTAAGTGTATGATCACAGTGGGGCTCAAGTTTGGGATAATGCTTGAAGAATTCCCTATAGTTTTTTAGCGACTCCGCTGGGGAGGATTTCTGTTATAATTCCTAAAGTATATTTTGGAAATAATTTAGAATTAGTGGATGAGACTCGAAAAGTTCTAAGTATTTCATGTGCATAATTTTGATTGACATTATTGGCATAAGCATAAAAAAGGTTCTCATTGGAAAGACCATCCGTAATGAGTTAAAAACATAGGATTTTTACACGTAGGAAATTTGAGAAATATCTTTCACAACTAGAATCGAAATAATACTGCAAAAATTGGTAAATTCTAAGAACACATAAAGCTGCTGAGGCATGTAGGAAATGGCGTCTAAAAAACAGAGCATGTCGCCAATGATATGGCTCTGTCGCCTGGCGACAACATTGCCGTCTGGCGACAGGGCTATATCCTGGCGACAAACTCTGTTGTCTGGCGCCAAGTTCTTCCAATACCGAGCCAGAACTCTGCGTTCTTGTTTTAACTAGTTTTAGCACTGTTGGCTCAATTCTACTTCCTTCTTGAGTTTTTCTCTCTTTCTGAAACCCATATGTGTTCTACATATGGTCATAACCCTCTGAGAATTCATGCTCCATCTACCCAATCAAACGCTCCTGGCAACGAAGGGTACATTTTGAGATTGTTGAATTCACCAAACCATGAAAGCGAGTTTAACTCGCGGGGTCCCATCCACACGCGCCAACCCTTCCAAAGGTAAGGCTTCCTCGCGATGCATCCGGACTCATAACCATGGAACCACTTTAACTAACCTATATCCTTAAACTTTAGAGAACTAGAGCCATGGTTAGGTTGCAAACTCATTGCATCATATTGTGCTTACTTGACTACCTGTGCATAACCTATGGGTGTTTACACTACCGTTTGTTTGACTTGTGATTAAGTCTAAATAAACTAATTAATGACTAAATTAAAGGACTTTGAGTAATTAAAGTCTAATAAATCTGGCATGTCCCTTTAAAGTAATAATACTGGAAACAGTCCCAGATCGATGTTCCAGCAACGGCGCAAAGGTTTGGGCTGTGGCGCCAAACGCTGTTGTGCAACGCCCATCGAACATTTTATATATACATATACATATACATATACATATTAAGCGTGATTACAAGTATTAATTCCCTTTAAACATGCATAAAAAATGTGATCAGGCAATAACAATAAAAATCAAGCAACATAATAATAATCATCATAAAAAATAATAATAATAAATATTATAATTATAACAATCATAAAAATAAACATGTTCATGTTAAAGCATAATAATAGCAAGATCCTAGGCATGATACTAACAAGATTAATAACAAACCCTAGCATGTCACTAAACATTAAAAATCAAAGCTTTAACCCTAACATGATACTATTATGAATATTAGGAAGAGAATAAAAGGCATCGCAGGAATCATGATTGATATAAGCAAATCACCCTAAATATCATACTAAAGAAAGCATCCTAACATGATACTAGGAATCAAAATAACAATCTAGACATGATTTCTATATCATAAAATCAATAAATCAGTTAAAGCACTTACTTGGACGCCTCGTACCTTTTTCTAATGACAAAATACACAAGTTAGTAACTTCAAGGAAAAATAATAAAACAACAATTAAATTAAGTAATTGAAAGAGAGATTTGGGACCAAACCCTCAGAAATTAAACCTTTCACGTCTAGGGCGAAGGCAACTTCGAATATTGCTAGGTGTTTCTAAATCTATTGAATGCGGAATTTTTATATTTGTGAAAAAGCTAGTTTAGAAAAGAGAGAGAGAGTAAACAAGAGAATCTTGATGAGAGTTGGTTAGAATTGGAAAGAATAAGAATTGATGATTGAAAACGGAGTTTTTAGGAAGCTATTTGTAGAGAAAATCAACAAAAAAGATAAAAAAATCAAAACAGAGTTCTGACGCGTAAAACCAGGTTAGTGCCAGACGCTGACATTAGCGCCAAGCGCTAACGCTAGCGCCAGGCGCCAAGCTTAGCGTCAGGCGCTAATGTTGGCGTGTGGCGCTAACTTAATTATTGACGCGTTTTCTAAAATCAGATAGAAATTGACCATACGGGAGGATAAAATCGTATTTTCCTCAAAAACATTCTTGTATTCTGATTAAAACTCTAAAAGTCAACAAAAGTCAATTTATCAATGCTAATTAAATTAGGTATGAAAAGAACCTTCTAGAAGAATCTAGAAGACTATAACCATTCCTAATTGCATTAGGAATTATAAATCCATATTAGGCCCTCCTCTAGATCATTGGGCCGCATATAAGGCTCAAACCGGGCCTAGTTCAGTAAATTGGCCATAACTTCCTCAATATTTATTGGAATTGGGCTTATAATATATAGTCGGAAAGCTCTTTTCAAGCCCTATCCAACTACACTACTACTGGATCCATATCATGGACCAACCAAACTGGATTGGCTAATTTCTTAAAATAGGTTTTCAAAAACATAGAGAAGAGAAAAGAAATTAAAACTATCCGCAACACTAAACTTTCCACACTTTCACTTCATTCGATTATGATTCGACGTGAAAGATACTCATCACTGGGTTTGGTTTTGGGGAGACACAAATGGGTGTCTACAGTGACCATCAAATATCTACCAAGAAATCCAAAATTTAGTAACTCTCAATCTATGCTCAAAAGCACAAGATCACCAACCCAATAATCTAGACCAATGATTCCATAACAACATAACCAACAAAGATTCTATTCAACTTCAATATTTTTCAGACCAGAAACAGTAAAGTTTAGATTATTACCAAAAAAAAACCAAAAACAGACTTAGAACGACAACAACAGCAACAACATCAGCAAACCAACAAGACATCAAAAATCAAAGGCTCTCACAAGACCGTCTCATCTTGTGTATAAATCATGAGAATAACCAAGTGCACTGATAATTCTTCATCTTGTTTCAGGCTTACATATGGAATTCATAATTACATTGACAAGTAGTCCAAACAAATATATAAGCCATTATGTACAGAAGAGCATATTTGAAGATTATATAGCATTATTGACAATTTGACACCAAAAGATATACAACATACACGTAATTGCATATTCACATGTTACATAATAGATAAGTTGAGAGTCATGAGACTATTAGATTACAAAAACCTCCACACATCGTATAAATAGCCATCTATACTAACATTTTAGCGAATATAATACTCATAGATACACCTTGAAGTTACACGTATTGTAAGAACTGTCAAAAAAATATGACTTTTCTCGAATATCAGAACCTATAGCTCACCCCTGACCTTCACATCTCCATCAGGCAGTGCATTCTGGGCTTGTGCCATCCTTTTCTGCTTTGGATGATTGAACTATAAATCTGAACCAAAAAAAAAAGCAACACAATAAAATACCAACAATCATCCAAATTAGAATCAAATTAAAATTTCATATATAAAACCAAATAATATAGCCAATTAGAATTAAAATAAAAAGATCTACCGAAATACACAAAACACAAAGGACCACAGATTAGCAAATGCAGACCTGAGTTAACAATGTTTCTTGCTCATTTCAGTCCCACCTAGAAGACTAATGATCATATGATGATACTTTTTCCAGCCTAATGACCAATACCAATATTTTAAACTTTCATAATTCAATCACGAAGTCGAGCATCCAAAAAAATTCGATACGTGATTCCATTAACTACCCTCAATCCTTGTTCCGAAGCATATAAATTTACTCTCTCACCCACTTATTCACCCCTTGAAATAGAGTTTCGGAAAATAAAACCCTACTCTTGAAACAAAGGCTTCTCAAAATTCTTATGTTTGCACCCAAATATTGTTAAACAACAGTGTATAATCCTCAGTAGCAGTTCTAGTACCATACAAAATCAAAGTAATCAACATCAGCTTAAATAATATATATATATATATATATATATATATATATCCAAATCAATTTACACTAAAATTCAAGGTAAATCAATAAAAAAAAAACCATCCAAATTAAGAAATAAATTTCTTAATATCAACCAACTCAACAACAGCTCAACATTAAAATGAAATTGCAAACACAAAAAAAAACAAAAAAAGGAATCAAATCAAATCAAAAATCCAAATCATTAGGAATTGTTCACAGGAAAGCAACATAATGACAATATGAATTGTGGAACTAAAAAAAAGACGATGATTGTATACCTGTGAATGACATCATGACCATGGCAGAAAGCAAAACCTTTACACAATTGGTACATCAAACTCTGCATTAACCCACACAATCCTCAATCAAGACCATAAAATTGAACAACTTTAATAATAGACGATATATTTCTAAGAATTATTCCACGGCATAATAGTATACCTTGATGATCGGAGGAGGGACGGTATCCCCGGTATTACAGGAACTACGGATGTATTTCTTAAGATCAGTGTCCATGTACTCAAACACCAGGTACAAAACAATCTTCCCCTCTTTGTTTTGCCCTTGTTTCACATCCAACAACCTATGTAACATCAACACAAAACCAGAAATCCCTTCAAAACCATATATTATCCAGAGAATCCCTAATAACAATAGACGATCAAACCAGCACTTCAATAAGAATTCTAATTATAGCAGAATCATTCAAATCAATCGAAATTCAAGGAAGTAATTTGTAAATTAAAAACCCTAAATTGAAGCAGCAGTGGTAAAATAGAATCAAAGCCGCATCATCCCCCTCCCAACACACACACACACACACAACTCCATCAAAACATCACCAAATTAAAAAACCCTAGAAAGATTAAATGAAATCAAAACGACATGTGAAACCCTAAGAAGACCCCAATCAAAATAATCGAACAATTACAAAGTGAAAACCCAAAATTGATAATAGAAATGATTAAGAGAGAAATTACCAAGAAAACTTCGTTGAGGAATCGTATCATCATAATCGTACACAAGAGGGCGGCGATTTGGCTTCAAAATCTTAGAATGAGCATAAAAATGGGATATTTAGGCAGTGAAATTAGGGCAAAAAACTAGGGTTTTTTTCGCTTTCTCTTGAAGAAGAATCGGGTTTCTCCAATCTAATTTGCTTGAAAAAATCGAAGATATATAAACACCCATTGCGATGTTCTTGACCCTGAATCATCACCCTCATATACACTTCTAGGTACCGAGATTCGTTCAAAAGACATTCTAAATTGGGTCCTCCACCATTGATGCAATTTAGAGGAGAGAGAAAGAGGGGAACTTTGGGAATTAGGGTGGTGAAATGGAGGAGATTGAATGAATGGATTGAGTGAATGGATTGAGGTGAATCAGGAGAAGAGAGCGAGATTGAGTGAGAAAATTAAGAGGAGAGAGGACAGAGGAGGAGAGAGAAAAAATGGGAGGTTTGACGGCTAAGGACAATGAAGTGTGAAACCCTAATACAGAGTAAAAAGTAATGGGCTCCTCTTTAGCTCTTATTAGCTGGGCCACCTATTCGTAACGGGCACATGGTGGCTGTTACAACTAATATAGTATTCGTCATGAGCAATATTTTTGCCCGTTACAAATAATATAGTATTCGTAACGGACACCTATGGTATCCGTTACTGTAGACACCCATTTGTGTCTCCCCAAAACCAAACCCAGTGATGAGTACCTTTCACGTCGAATCATAATCGAATGAAACGAAAGTGTGGAAAGGTCTAGTGTTGCGGAAAGTTTTATTTCTTTTCTTCTCTTTTCTCTTCTATCTGTTTTTGAAAACTTTATTTTAAGAAAATATCCAATCCAGTTTGGTTGGTCCATGATATGGGTCCAATAGTGGTTTAGTTGGATGGGGCTTGCAAAGACATTTCCAACGATATATTATAAGCCCAATTCCGATGAATATTGAGGAATTTATGGTCAATTTACTAAACTGGGCCCGGTTTGAGTTTTAAGTACGGCCCAATGATCTAGGGGAGGGCCTAATATGATTTATCATTCCTAATGTAATTAGGAATGGTTTTGGTCTTCTAGAACATTCTAGAAGGTCTTATCATTCTTAATTCAATTAGGATTCTTCAGAGTTTTAATTAGATCAAATAGCATTTTCGACTGAAATTATATTATTTTATCTTCCAGTACAGGAATTTTATCAGATTTTCAAAAACGCGTTAAAAGCCGGTTTGGCGTCCAACCCCAGGCCTTGGCGCCTGGAACTAGGATTGGCGCCAGACGCCAGCCATTGTCGCCTGGCGCTAGCCACTGGTCCTGGCGCCAATGAGCCAGGGCTGGCGCCAAGTTGGTTTTGCGATCTTCAGACTCTGTTTTGATAAATTATCTTTTTTGGCTGATTTTCTCTATAAATATCGTATCAAAAACTCCGTTTTGATGGAGGGATTATCATATATCATTCACCACTTCTTTTATTCTTAAGTTTTAATAAATTCCGTTTTCATTCATCATCTACAATCTTCAATCGCTAACAAATTAGTTTATGAATCATTAATCTTTCATTCATTCTTTCTAAACTTTGCTCTTTAATACAAAATTCCGCATTCACAAGATCTAGAAACACCTAGCCATATTCGAAGTTGCCTTTGCCCTATACGTGAAAGGTTTTAATTTCTGAGGGTTTGGTCCCAAATCTCTCTTTCAATTATTTAATTTAATTGTTTTGTTTATTATTTTCCTTGAAGTTACTAACGTGTGTATTTTGTAATTAGAAAGAGGTACGAGGCATCCAAGTAAGTACTTTAATGGTTTAATTGATTTCATGATGTAGATATCACGCTTAGATTGTTATTTATGATTCTTAGTATCATGTCTAGGGTATCTTTAATATCAAGTATGATTTAAAAGTATGATGCTTCCTATGTTCTTTCTAACATTTATGATTATGATTGATGATGAATATTTATTATGTTGCTTGATATGCATATTATTTTATATTGTTATTGCTTGGTCACCTTTTATTGCAGGTTAAAGGGAATTGGTATTTGCAATCACGCTTAATAAGATATTAATAATCTTGTTTAGGTTAATTGTGATTAAAATTCAAGTGATCGCCAATAATAGTTTATATGTGCATTAAATTCAACCAACATAGATTAAACAGGTTTAGGGTTAATCCTATTGATTGTATGTTAGTCAGAAAGCGCACATGAATACGAGCAGAATAAAGTAGAGGCCTATTATTAGGGCAGGTTCAGTCTCTTTTAGGTTGGATTTGTACCTTCATCCCCGAACCCTTATTTGGTTCATGACCTTATGGAGTTAACGATCTCTTGGATCGTTAAGGGGTGTAACCTTCACCTCGTGAACGGTTTACAAGTTCCTTAAAAACTTGTTGGCGACTCTTTTTCTCTATCTTCTTCCCTTTTGGACGCCACCGTACTTTAAGTGTATGATCACAGTGGGGTTCAAGCTAGTGGGATTTAAAGGCTTGAAATTATTCCCTACAGTTACGGATACTATATTATTTGTAACGGGCAATATTTTGTCCGTTACGAATATTGTATTATTTGTAACGGGCAATATTTTGTCCGTTACAAATATATTAAATGTAACGGGCATAGCTTTGCCCGTTACGAATAACCCGGTACAAATGAAATATTTTCCACTAGTGGAAAGCTTTGTCGTCTGGCGCTTCACTTCAGTGTGCGACGACATTCCTGTTGCTTTGGCGACAGCTCAGTTTATTACTCGAGTCATCTCGACGAGTCTAATTAAACAGTTTATTAATCAATTTGATCAGTCTGATTAATGGTAGTAGCCATGTTTAGTCTTTAATTGAATCTAAGAACTTAGTCTCATGGTCATACACAAGGGTCAACGCATGTCACTTGCACTCACTAATAAAGCACACACTTAATATGTATGTCACATCTTGACCATGTCTAGAGATCCATGCATGAGACGTTTTTCTGTCATTTAAATTGAGGGTCCATTCCATTTATATTCTCTTCCATGTTCTCTTCCTATCCATTGCATGTTGAATAGTGCTTGAGTCAAAATAAAAAAATAAAAAAAAACTTACTCCTAACTTCCGTTTCCTCAACACTTGATCAAGGAAAGAAGAGCATTTAATTAACCAAGACATCACTTGATAAAGCATCACTCTTTTATAAAACAAAAAGGGCTGTAATAATGGCCAGTGAAGAAGAAATTTTCTTAAGTAATACTAGTGAAAACTCGTCAAGTCTGGAAGAGGACGTTCAAGAATTACGAAATACTGTTGTCACGCTTATGGGTGCAATAGAAGGACTAAGAGATTAGATAATGGTTATCGAACAACATTCTCATTGTAAACACCATAGAGGCCATGATCACACCACGAAGGACGTTTCACCCTCAAGGATCGCGTTCAAGACCTCATTTATTCAAGTCTCCTTCATGTTCCTCCAAGCAACAAGAAGGCCAATATTAGTGACAATAACAACAATGGCTGGAAAGGAAAGAAGAACGACCATCCTTCTTCTTCCGAAAACACCTACTCTATTAACAGTGTTAGTACTCTTGACCTTAATGAAGTCTTAGCCATGGATAATCGAGGACTTAGAAAGCAACTAAGAAAGGATTTCACCCCTATTGGGATTAGATTAGATGTTGCTTTTGTTCGACTCCATGACAAAGGACTCAATACTCCCATTGGACCCATTCAAGATCCCCCACCTGAAAAGAGATTGCCAAGTTGGAACCCAAATGCACACTGCAAGTACCATCAAGGTAGGGGTCATACTACTGAGAGTTGTTGGAAGCTAAAGGAGGCAATCCAATTTTTTATCGACAATAACAAGCTTCCTATACTTCCAGTCGGCAAGAAGACCGAGTGATGAGAAGGCACAAGACAAGAGGCGAGCTTCAACGACAAGATTTCATGGCCTCCTTTTCTATTTCTTTTTCATTCTTCCTTTTCCCAATAAGTCTAGCATAGGCACCTTTTATTTTCCTTAGATTTACTTTGTAGGACTTTTCTTTTTTCCCTTTTTAATAAAATGAGCATTTTATTTCTTGCATATGATCATTTCATAAAAAACATTCGTCGAACTATGCACAAGGTATATCAATGATTTGAGGCACCCTTTTTAGCCCATCATATCACCTTTCACCCTTTCAAATATACAATCCTTTTTTGACAAACCACTTTGAGCCTCGCCTAATGATAGACCTTTCTTTCTTCAACCCACATCTACCTAATCTTGGGATGGGATAGTGTGAAACTTTTGCAATTTTAAAAAGCTTGAGTGATTTTAAAATATCAAAATAAATAAAAAACCAATAAAAAATAAATAAAAGTGTACAAAAGGGCAAGTGTTCCAATGTCTCTGATATGAAAATATCTTTGATAAGAACACGTCTCGGATTACGTTTCTTATCGAGTGCTCGGTACCGTGCCTGAGAAACATGAATGCCAAGTGAGTGATAGACCGCATGATCGGGATTGCCCACACTTATTGAAAAAAGGTTCAAAATAAAAAAAATGTAAAAGCGAAAAAATAAAGAGAGTAAAAAATACAAACAAAAGAGAGTTCAAAAGTGAGAAACCTCGAGCATGAAAATACAAATATTCAAAAGCAAAGTTGCACACCTTGGGGCTTATCTAGGGTCTTGAGCCTTTATCCCTTTCTTCTATAACCTTTAGCCTAATCACGTTACAACCCTTAAATGACCTCTTTGAGGTATACACATACTTGTGCGAGGTTCGGCTAGAGCTACGTTCGGCCTGATTCCTAACGGATACGTAGGCAACCTCACAAAGGGGGTGCGTCCGTAATAAAAATGCATTCACATTCACATTCACACACTCACACCATGATCATATCAAGGGATCCCTTATGCTCATCCCTATCTACTTAGAGCTAGACTTGGGGGCTTGATCCTTACATTATTAGCCTACCCATCCTAAGAGTCACCACCATTTGACTCTTTTCAATATATTTTACCACACACTTAGCCCTTGCGGCCTAACTTTAGTGTCACTTTCACACACTACATGGATACATGACCAAATGATACTTCCCTTAGGAACATTTTGTCATGAAATCTTAACACGACGTTGAAGCATGCCTTGTCATGTCAACAATCATAATTTCATTAATTATGAAGTGCTTTGCCTCCGTGCCTAAGTTACCTAAATACTTTCATTACCGAGTCAACTAGGATAGTCTAAGATGTTACAATCCTTGTACTATGAGAGACAACGTTAACGGATTAAGCTCAACATGCACTTTCAAAAACTTCGTTTCTTTCTTTTTTATGTCTCTTTTTTTCGGGAGAAATTCGGTACCCTCCACTAAAATGACGGAAATTTTTGTTTTTCAAGTTATGTACACATTGAGTCGTGAGTCAGCACGTTGCACACATGAGTCACACGTAGTGGGTCATCATTTAGGCAAGTTTACACCTTAAGTCATGTGTGTCAAAATACTATTTGAGTCGATTCATGACAAGTCATATGTGCTAAAAGTACGTTAAGTCTTAAATGAGCCT